CGTGTAGGCATACTGAAATACTGTGATTCTGCAATACTGCTGGCGTCTGGAAGGGCCTCCTGATGCGTGGGGTGACAGTTACACATCTGAAGAGTCACTCCAATCAGTCACAGTTACTAAGCTGCTTTTCAATGTGCTGGATTCATCCTGAGGTCCTGCGGAGGGAGAGAGGGGGGGAGGGGAGGCCCCAGTGATGAAACAAGCACACTGTCCACAGCCTGTAAAAAATCCTCAACCTCAGACAGTAATCCATCACTCGTGTCTGAGTCTGCTCGCGACCCCACCCCCAGCTCCTACAAACTGTGAAAGGGGCTGCGGACAGTCCCAACCTCGTCTCTGGGGTAGCCTCACGGGGCCCTCATAAAGGAAGCTTCCGCCCGGCCTCCCCTTGCCAGCATTCAGCACAGGGCCTGGAGGCTGGCAGCGGTCAAGAGAGGAGAATAAAATTAACAAGCCAAGGAGGGATTAAACGGTAAAACGGTGCCCCAGGTTTTCTAGGGTAGATGAGCTTAAACACGAAGTTAGTTCCAAAGTCCCTCGGGCTTCCCTGGTGGCGCAGTGGTTGGGAGTCTGCCTGCCGATGCAGGGGACACGGGTTCGAGCCCTGGTCCGGGAAGATCCCACATGCCGCGGAGCAACTAAGCCCGTGAGCCACAACTACTGAGCCTGAGCGTCTGGAGCCTGTGCCCCACAACGGGAGAGGCCGTGACAGTGAGAGACCTGCGCACCGCAATGAAGAGTGGCCCCCACTCGCTGCAACTGGAGAAAGCCCTCGCACAGAAGCGAAGACCCAACACAGCCAAAAATAAATAAATAAATTTAAAAAAATGTGGCAAGAAATTAAAAAAAAAAAAAAAAAGTGCCTTGAGCCACTGAAACAAGAGAGGGCTGAGAATTCCACTTGCATGTGACTCCAGAAATGTTTCTTTAAGGGGTGTGGGGCCATGACATTGGGGCGGAGGGAGGAAATGTACTCAGGGCATCCTCTTGGCCCTGTGTCCTCACAGAGTCGCCGTAGCATAAACATGTCTTTTGCTTTTTCAAAGATTAGGATGGATCTTGAGACAAAGCACAGAAAACTTACGACGGTGACAGAACAGAAGGTCAGTGTTATGACTGACACGTTGGTGGAGAAAAGAGGTCAAGTGAAGGTAGAGGCAGCAATGGCTCATCTCACAAAGGGCAGTGGGGGGCGGGTGGATGAGGCAGGAGACCCTGCTACAGACAGAGCAAGTAGAGATGTGCACGTATTTGTTAAAATTACAGATGTGGGAACAAAAGTCCTGAAGAGGGGGCATGAGGGGTGCAGGGAGTGGGGAAGGAGTCAAATCCTCCTCTGTCTTAGCAGAACTTCCACAGTTCATGTCTAAAGTCAGTGAGCCTAGAAATAGGGGTCTGAGCCCGTTGCTCAGAGGCACGGCTCATTGGACGCACAGATGAAGAAAGGCTGAGAGGTGGCGTGGAGAAGAATTACTCTGATAGAAAAAATACAAATTATATTTTCTGATTTTAAAAATTAAATGGGTTGAGAGGTAAGTTACTGGACTTATTACCCATACTCTAGCCTGGGTGAATAGGAACAATAGCATTGGATGGTTTCACTTGTCATTCATCCCACTGGCTACAGTGCTACAAGAAGAATCTTCCTTGGAAGAAAATAAAAATATTTATGATGATGAATGTATGTATGATGATGAATACAGGAAGACAGTCAGAAAAAGTGGCCTCATTGAGGTATATGATCAGAAATTTAAATTTCCGTGAGGCATCTGCACGAAGAGACTATTTATATGGGCATTTTCAAAAATAGATCTTTTAGAAATTTAAAGACTAAGGATTAGACCTAAAATTAAATTTTAGAAAATTAGTAAATATATACAAATCAGTAAGTTGTTCACATTCAGTCCTTGTTAAAGTAATGTAAGGAAAGCAAGATCTTTGTTATGCCAACAGTGTTTTTGTCTGATAACATATCAGCATAGCTTAGATATTTATAGAGGCTTCTGCTAGACACCAAAGCAGCGAACCTGCTCCCTTCGGCCCTTTCAGGTTAGTTGCACCCCAGGCACTTGGCACTTGAGTAGAATTTGACTCATTCTTCGCAGGTGGAGGTTCCTTCTGTTCTCTTCCAATTCTTCGCCCCAAAGACTTCTCTTCCTCTAAGGATGATATGTCCCAGTCATTATCGTCCACATCTGCACACTGAAAAAAAATACGTGGAGAATAATGAATGTTTCCTAAAGAAACTGTGTGTGTTAGAGCCCCTTGACCACTTTGTTGGCCAGACTGAGCCGCTGACACTAAATGATGAGAAGTTGGGAGCCTCAAAGGATCCCCCAATCTGGTCATTTGGTCATCTCTGGAGGGGAAATGAAACGGATTTGGAAATCTGTGCTTTGAAAGCAGAGGGAATCACCTCTTTTTCTGTTCCTTGCTGTGGAAATGAACGTTTCCTACTCAGCAGTCATGAATTTAGCAAATTCCAGGAACACTACGTTGTAGAAGTCAAGTCAGGATGCTCCCCAAGGAGCAGCTAGGCTGGCTCTGGGGCTCTTACCTCTGTGATACTAAGACATTTAACTGCAGGAGACATCACATGCGGACCCTGCAGAAACGGCCCTGACCTAAAGGAGCGCGTGTTTCTCCGGCGCCCCTTCTAAGGAAGATGCGGTGGCTCTCTCTTGACCTTTTGTGACTTATTCTTGGCTGTGTAACACAAGTGGCACTAACTTACGAACGTAGTTTGACGAAATGCTCTGGATTCCACAGATGAGCAGGGGAAGAATGAAATCTAATTCAAGGGAAAAATTAAGAAAAGAGCAACTACTACTGGCAGGCCCCAGCAACACAGATGAGCCTGCCCAGGTCTCTGTCCACAGAAGCACTTCCGGTGCCTGGTGTGGGACCTTGGAGTGTGTCAGGGCCTCCCCTCCACTCGGGGAGGGGAGCTCGGCTTTGCCCTGTGCTTGGGTCATGGACCTGAAGCATCTCTCCACCGACTCTGGCTCCCAACCCTGAAAGTCCCTATTTCACTTCCAGGTCTCGCCACGGTGGCAGAAAGTTTCCTAGACTCAGATCTGAAGTCCCCAGATTCTAATCAGTCACAAGTTTCTGTGAACAAACTACCTCATATCTGCAAACGTCAAATAATACACGTGACAGGATTGTGAAAACCTGTAAAACTTGATAAGCATAGGACGCATTATTACCAGTTATCCTTTCAATATCTTTGATTCTCTATGGAATAGGAAGAAATACGATACTGAAAACAAGACAATGTAAAAATCTCAACCTCTACTATACTAAATAATTATATTTGTTTTACATTTCACTGTAAACAATACAATTATTAAGGTATATTCATTAAAAGATGAATTTGTGTATGCTTAGCAAGTAAAAGTGATGTCACCTTTAGATCTTCTTTTTGTGCTTTTTTGATGAACGCCTCAGCAACATTAAGCCCACCAACTGGCTTATTCACACTTCTGTGATTTGAAACTGTCTTTTCAACTTTTCCAGTTAATGTTTTAATGGAGGTTCCTACAGGACCCACAGAAAATAGGTGAAGTTTAAAAAAAATTATATTTATCTTCAGTTCCAAAATAACCTTACAAACAATTTGAGAGAGTCTAAGCTTTGCAATACTTCCTGTAAAGAAGTCATGCTCCTCTAGACTAGAAGAATAAAAATTTTAAATCAAAGAAGGATGGTCTCATTCAAGTACATGGTCAGAAACTTTGATTTCAGTGAGGCAGCCTGCATGAATGGGATATTCATATATTGTTTTCAAAACCAGTTATTTTTAAATGATTATATTTTACATAATTATATAAATACATGGTATATACAAATTATATACAATAAACATTATATGTGATATGTTTAAAATATGTAATTTTTAAATTGCACTAAACAGAATTTCTTTTTTTTAAAAAATGACCCTTCAGCGTCACTTCTCCTTAGCAAATTATCAGCAGTTGCCGACTTGGACCTTATGTTCTTTTAGGATTGCCTCACATCCAAAAGGCAGCACAGTGTATTAGAACAGTTATTCTCAAGGTCACCCAGTATTAGGGGCTGAATCGTGTCCCAAATGCATATGTTGAAGTCCTTACCCCCATTACCTCAGAATGTGACCTTATTTGGAGGTAGGACCTTTAAAGAGAGAATCAAGTTAAGGTGAGGTCATTAGGGCGGACCCTAATCCAATACGACTGGTGCCCTTACAAAAGCAGAAAATTTGGACATAGATGCATGCCCAGAGAAAGTCAGTGTGACCAGACACAGGGAGGAGACAGCCATCTACAAGCCAACGACAGAAGCACAGACTAGAGCCTCTCCTCACAGCCCTCAAAAAGAACCAACCTTGCCACCTTGATTTTGGCCTTCCAGCTCCTGTCAGTAAGTTTCTGTAGTTTAAGCCACACAGTATGTGGTAGTTTGTTTCAGCAGCCCTTATATTTGTTACTAATACATCCAGGCGTCCCCAACCCCTTCCTCTCCTTCCACTTGAATATCAATTACCTGCTAAGCCCTGTCCATTTTCTTTAGGCGGCAGCAGCTTTTGGATTAGCCCCATCCTTTCCTCGGGCACTTTCTCAGCTCAGACTCCCCAGTGCTTGGTGCCCCCAGGTGAGAACCACTGTCCTAAACAAAATTTCCAGAGGGATTTTCAATAACAAAAGCTTACCTGTGGGCTTGGGAGAAATAGCAGAGTCCTCAATTTCACTTCCCTCGGTCCAGTCAGTGTCACTTTTGACGGTGTTCCTTCCAAAGCTACTCCTGTTGCTTTTAGATGACAGCACAGGAAGTAAGTCTGGCGAGACACAGGCCTGGAGGAGGTCCTCATCATCCAGCTCTTCCTCTGAACTGAAGGGAGGGGTCCTAAACAAATCAAAACCCAAATAGGGGACGCTGTTTCCCTAAGTTTCAGGATTTACCATGTGTCCCTTAAAGCAGTGGGAATTTTCTCCAGAGAGCATAAGTGACACCCATGTGGCCACAGAACAAGATGGCAGCCAGGGCCACAAAGGGCCGAAGAGTCATTTCAAATCCAGACCTGCCAGCCACATGGTGTATTTACCAAAATGTGCTGAAGTTAGGACATTACTCCTTGAAGCCCAAATTTGTATATTCTTAATATTGGTTTTCACACACCTAAGAAAAATATTTCACAGTGGAAAAAAATATTTTTGCAATAAAACTATGCCATCTTTTAAAATAGTGTCATTACTTACGGCTTACCTTTACATGGCACCCTACAAAGGACTTCTACATAAATACGTAATCTCATTTGTATCATCACATGAATTATCACCCCATTTTAAAGTGAAACAGAAATTCAGAGTGGTATTCACTCATTTAAAAAATATCCATTGAGCACCTAAATTCCACACAACGTTCAGTTACACTACATCCCATGAAATAAGGCTCTTCCCGCGAGATTATGTACATGAAAACTATTTTTGAAGGGTGAATTATTATTTATACTGTCTTTAATATATTTATTCTGTCTCTAGTATATATACAAAATGCCTTAATGAAGAAATAAAGCATCAATATCGCCAGAACAAGTCAATGATGATGAATTCAATTATTATAAAATTAGTTTTACTCAATTAATAACAATAATATACCTACAATTTATTGAGTACCCACATGTGCCAAGTACTGAGGCTGAGCCCTTTTCATATCTTCTCATTTAATTTGTAGAACTATCCTGTGAAAAAGGTAGCATCATCCCATATTACAGATAAGAAAACAGAGCCTTTTTAACAGGCAAGCAACTGAATCAGTGTCACACAGTTAAGGAATGACTGAGCTAGGGTTCTTAGTATCATAAGACAGCCTAAGAGAGTAAGGTCTAGGGCCATTATCAACTTCCACAAGGAGCTAGGACACTAAAATATCATCCGGCTACACTATCATGGATCCAGACATTAAAAAGCAACATCACGCATTTATCGAACATTACTAGACACCAGGCGGGAGGTGGGCAGTTGGGGGAAAAAAAAATAACAGAAATGACTCAGGTGTGGTTCCACTTGTTAATGGAGGCCACACGGGATAAGTACTGTTGACCCAGGTAATATCTGATAAAGAAACAAAGATGTAACAAAGGAATCACAGATTAAATATGATGTGTACTAATTATGGCTCTAGTGAACCACAATGAACATACTAATTTACAATGAAAGAAATGTTCAGTGAAAAGAATTTATAAACATCACCACCCCCTGCTCCCTCAGTACTCACGCAACAGTTGAAGACCTTCTGGGAAAATGATCTTCTGTGATATTTTTCTTAACTCTAAAAGCAAGAGAAAAATATTTCTGGTGTAAGTGAATAATGTAATTTAAAACAGATTTCGTGGGCCATGGCTGCTGAGCCTGCGCGTCCAGGGCCTGTGCTCCGCGGCGGGAGAGGCCACAACAGTGGGAGGCCCGCGTACCAAAAAAAAAAAAAAAAAATATATATATATATATATAAATATATATATTTCTAAGGAATTGGTGATTTTTGCTTTATTAAAGGGTGAGCAGCAGCAACTCTCCCTGAGACAACGAGAGATGGGTAAGCATTCCAAGTGTGATTCTCTGTTGGGTCAAACATTGCTGTGGGCTGAATGTTTGTGGCGCCCTAAAATTCATATGTTGAAGCCCGAACCCTCAGTGTGACGGTGCCTGGAGATGGGGTGATTAGGTTTCGATGAGGTTATGCGGATGGGGCCCACATGAAGAAATTAGTGTCCTTGTAAGAAGATGAAGAGAGACCAGTGCTCTCTTGCTCTCCCTGGCATGTAAGGACACAGTGAGAGGGTGGCCGTCTGTGGGTCCTGGAAGAGAAGCCTCACCAGAACCTGACTGTGCCAGCACCCTGATCTCAAATTTCCAGCCTCCAGAAGTGTGAGAGAATAAATTTCTGTTGTTTAAGCCACCCAGTCTATGGTAGTTTGTTATGGCGGCCCGAGCTGACTGAGATGAACGTTAATAAAAACATTTTAGGCTTGAAAATACTCACTTTGGAACAGATGTCCTATCGGTAAAAACAGGTCTTTGTCTAACCAACTGTCTGCTTTTGGGAAGAAGATGTATTGCTTTGGGTATTTCTCCAGTTGAAAGGGTGTCCACTTGAGAAGCACTGTACCTGTCTGGAATAGTGTCATTCGTGAGTCTCCATGACGTGAAAAGCAGAATAAAATACTACAATACTGTCTATGCTGGCACTGAAACGAACAAGCCTGTCTCAAGGGTCTAGACTCCACACTACAGGGGGGTTTTAATGTAAAAAACACAATCTAAGACCCAACATTTAATGAGTTGCCAATTAAGTTCCAAGGTTTGTGAACCATCTAAAATTATGAAACGGTTGTTCTATTTTGCTCCCATCTGCAGAAATGAAATGGCAGTTGGTAGCAGGCTTACCTGTGGACAGTTGTGTTCTCTCCTCAGTTTTATGGCTGACCTGACGTTCAAGGAATTCACGAATTTGCTGAATGTTAGGTATTTGTCTTTCTCGCTCATGTCTTGCTGATTCTATGGTTCTTAGCACTCTATTCAAGTGGTCACTTGGAATACCACGTATATCCTGAAGGAAAAAAATGTTAAGTTAATCAATTATCCTGGGGTGTTTTTCATTTCATGGACATTTGTCAGCATTAACCATGCCAACCTTTCGTCCTTACTGCTGCATGTAAGGTGAGGAATGCCCTGACATATAACACATGGTCCCAGTCCCAAAAGGAGCTCACGGGGCAGTGGGACACATAACGTGTGTGTATGATTGTACGTGACTGGCTAAGGTACGGGGCTGTAGGGGCCAGGACCAAATGCATGGAAGGCGTGTGTGTGACTGATTAACCAACAGTGCGAGGTATGTGACAAGGACCGAATGAGTCCACAAGGGCTAGAGGAATTCAGGGAGAGGGGCTTTCAGAGGCCCCACTGGGCCAAGAAGCCTTAAGGGGGAGGCTGGGTGCCTGAAGGATGGGTGGAGTGAAACAAGTAGAAAGAGGGAGTGTTCCAGATGGGTGGGATCACCTTGCGGGAAAGGCAGGCAATGGGACAGAAACAGTCAAGGCATGTCTAGTGGTTAATGCTACAGAGGAATGGGTGAGGAGAGAAGAAAAGGAGACTGATGCCAAAATGAAAAGCTTAAAGGTTGGTTATTCCACAGGTAAGCGAAAATCCTCAGGTTTTCAATTAGTAAAATGCCATAATTTAAGAGGTGATTTGAGAAAATTCTTTTGGATTTGAAGGGTATCAAGACAGAAGAAAACCAGTTAAAGAGCTACTTATTCATTTATTCAATATCAGTGTCACACACACACTCCCATCTCCTTCCCACCATTCCCCTCAGTCTTCCCCATCCCAGGAAGCGGCTCCACCACCCACCCAGTTGCCCAGGGGACAGAAATCTCCATCATCAGATCAACTGCTACCTCCAAGAAGAAGTTTTCTCTGACCTCAGTTATTCATTCCCCTCTACGTTTCCTTCATTTCACATCCTACAATCTGTCGTTATGGATCTACCGTCTGTTTGTGTGAGCAGGTGTTCAATATGTCTTCCTGTACCCTGCAGCTGGATGGAAAGACCCGATACTGTACAAATGTCAGTTCTTCCTAAATAATACACAAAATTTAAGGCATTTCCAATCAGAATCCCCACAGGGGTTATTCTGGAACTGCAGCAGCTGTTTCTAAAGTTCACTGGAAAACAAAATATGGAAGAACTGCCAAGAAACTTTTGAAATAAGACTAATGAAAAAGGCATGACCTATAACAGATACTAAGGTACAGGACAAAGTTACTAAAATTAAACCAGTATGGTGTTAGCAAAGGAACAGAAAAAATAGTTGAAAGGGCAGAACCGTTGAAAGTCCAAAAATAAATCCAAATGTACGTAAAAATGTCCTATATGATAAAACTGCTATTTCGGACAAACGAGGAAAGGGTGGATTACTCAACGAAAGATATTGAGACAATTGATCCAACTGGAAATGAGGTTAGATCTCTGACTCATTGTTTCCAAACTTAATTGTTAAAGCCCAGATAGACAAAAAAAGTAAACAAACAAAAAAACTATGTAAGCATTAGGAAAAAAATATAGCATGTTTTTATAATCTTAGGATAAAAGGAAACGTTCCAAATAAAATCTATAACCCAAAAACCATATGCAGACTGGAACTGGAACTCTCACACACTGATAGGGACAGTGTAAACTTTTACACTTTGGAAAATTATTTGGCTACACCTATTAAAACTAAACATGTATACTCTTAGACTCAGCAATTTCATTCCTAAGTATACAGCCAAGAGAAAGGAATGCCTATGTCCACCAAAAGACATGCACAAGAATGTAATGGCCAAAAAGAGCCCCAAACCGAAAATCCAAATGTCCATCAACAGAATAGATAAAATGTTGTATATTCATACAATGGAATACTATACCACAAACTACTGCTAAATGAAACAGTAAGTATGAATCTTACAGAAAAAAATCATAAGCAAAAGAAGTGACACAAAATAACACACAGTGTAGGATGCCACTCCTATGAGGTTCAAGAACAAAAAAAAACTAAGTCAGAATAGCCATTACCTCTGGCTGGGGAGTACGGAGTTATATTGACTAAGGAAAGCAAAAGAGAGTCTTCTAGGGTACTGGCAATGATGGATCTCTTTCTTGATCTGGGTGGTGGTTCAGATCATACACACAACCCCCCCCCCCGACACGTACATACAGATCTGTATACACACGTATATGTGTATATACACACGTATATGTGTATATACCCACATACACTCATACATACAAATGCATGCACATGTGTATATATACATACATAGATTTGTGCACACACACGTATACACAATATCCACACACGTGCAAATACACACAGACCTGCATACACACAGCCACATAAACATACATGCATTGCATGTACATTATGCACACATGTACATGTGCACATATCTGTGCACATTCCATGCACATACATACTTTTGCATACACATACATATATGCACATGTGATGTATACACACACACACAGGTATATAAATTCAGGTTGTTCAATTAAGTTTGTGTATTTTATGTATGCGATGAAAAATGTAAAAAGCAAAGAGTATTTATAACATGATGTACAGAACAATTCAATCTGGCAACAACGTGAAATACAATTCATTCATCCATTCATTTAATAAGGGTAGCTTAAGTGCTGATTTTGTAACAGGCAGTAATTCGGAGTTAACTTCAGAATGTAAGCAGCCCTGCAACTGCCTGGATGCAAACCCTGGCTCCTTCATCACGAACATGTGACCTGAAGCAAGTTACTTCACCTCTCTGTAAAATACAGATGATATTGTCACCTACCTAAGAGATTGGTTTCTATGTTTAAATGAGTTACTATCTGAAAAGCTCTCTGAAAGGTGCCAGGCACCCAGTGAATGCCAGCTGAAGTGTTTAATGAATCATGTCACATTAGCCTCCGATCTCCATATGTGACAGAACTGACATGCCTTCTTCTCTTCTCTGATCCTTTCTTATTTAAAAACAAAATAGGGAATTCGCTGTCAGTCCACTGGTTAGGACTCCGCGCTTTCACTGCCACGGCCCGGGTTCGATCCCTGATCGGGGAACTAAGATCCCGCAAGCCACACGCTGCAGCCAAACAAGACAAAACAAAACAGCAAATATTCCCAAAGTGGGTGAACTTACTGCACTAATCCCCAAGGTTTCCAGTTTCTCCACCAAACTCTGCTCCAAGACTGTTCTTATTTCCTTAGTGAGGGAAGGGTTATTCTTCAAGGTTTTCCTTAAATGTATCTTGTTATTTAATTTCTGTTCATTTTCCTTTCCTGAAATAAGTTTTTATAACGTATTAAAAAGGAATTAAACAAATACATTAAACCTCTAAGCAGAAAATGGCAAAACACAACTTCTAAACAGCAAGCAAGCATTCATAATGTTTTAAAGTTTTTGAATAGTTTAGTCATTCAGCACAATATATAATGCTTAAATACTGTAGCTTTTAAAACTACCTTACGGGGATATATCTATATGTATAGCTGATTCACTTTGTTATACAGCAGAAACTAATACACCACTGTAAAGCAATTATACTCCAATAAAGATGTTAAAAAAATAGATAAATAAAAGTAAGGAGTCAAGTAATGCTATATATATATATATATATATATATATATA